CTTCTTCTTTCAATTCTAGGGCTTAGCACCTTTTGCTGTGAGGAGGTGTTTTCTTGTTTCACAGAGCAGGTGGTCTCCATGCAGATCAGGTTCTCTAGCTGGATAGGACAAAAGGTGAGCATAGGACCACTGCTACCCCACTTTCCTTACTACAAGAATCTTGCCTGGATTGGCATGATAATTTGCATTCCTCTTATCTGTTTATGCCATTTAAAAGACAGATGTCAGTCAGATGTCCTTTTGTAGTCAATAGAGTTAAACACTCCCAGAGTGACAGTCATCCCAAGGTCTAATACAGATGGGAACCACTTACCTCTTTTCATTATCTGTGAGGGGAAACCAGATAACTATTTTAAGATTACTCAGGGTTGAGGAATCTTCATGCTAAATAGAATCACTCTGCAGTGGTCTGATCCGTGCGCTTCCTGAACTGAGAGAGGTGATCTCAAAATCCTTCTAGGAGAGATTATATCCAGGGAAAGAAGGCAAATCTATTGCTGGCCTTGCATAACTCACTGGACAATTTACTAGTAATGGAAACCATCTTTAGATAGAGAGATACTTGGCCTCTGCTAATGGAGCCATATTTTTATGGGGAGTGTCTGTACTAACATGAATTAAATTAGGGAATTAACATCATTGTACCTGATGGGATCATTAAAAATTACATACAGGGTGGCACAGTGGGGAATCTTAAATTCAACTCAGATTAATCCTCTTTGTCTTAGTAAAAAGAACAGACCAGAGAATAACTTTTTCTTAATACTGTAATGTAATATTGTAATATGGACTACCAGTTACTGTACTTCAGAGTCAATGTCTTGAGTGTTATGATTATTTAATCCTTTATTCCACAGTAATTTTCCATATAAAACTAAATTAGATCTTATGAATATTAACTTCAAGTCTAACAGAGTAAATTTGAAGGAAATGAGGAGATAAAACACACCTCTGTTTCATCCCTCATCAGAGAGTACAGATTCTGTATTTTGTTTTGGAAGAAGCACAATAAACATCTTCCTAATTCATCTTCAGTTTTGCAAATTAATGTTTGGGCAATCAAATTTGTCTAAGTCCCTCTTTTCTCATTATAGGGTAAAAACATATGACTGTGGAGAAAGAATTGCTGGCTGGTTCTCTTTGTTTCTTGGTCGTCCATGTCGCTTGATAAGACAAAGTTCAGACATGAAAAGCCAATCACATCAGAAAAATACAAAAGGTATGCTGTCGTTCTTAAGAATATTTATGATTCCTCGCTTAGTAAACATCAGGCTCATGGACTACATACTGACTATATAATTATCCAGATAAAAGGTGAAAGACTCATTCAAAACTGATCTATTAGGTTTCAAAGGGTACGTTTATACTTAAACTGTGTTTATGCTGCCCTTCTACTTGTTATATTTGGTGAAAATGTGCAGATACACCAGTCTGGGGTTTTTTATCATTACGACCATGATTTTGTCTAGAAACTCAATGATAATTTTGAAAAATGATAATGAAAAATCTATAAACAAAGACTTTATTCTTAGACTACATTTCATTATAAGAAAGGATCAAATGGA